TAAAGCAGCAGTTACAAAAATAACACTATAGTGCCGTTGTAGCAACTTATGTATATTCTTTCTGCATATGTGACTGTTGAGGTTTAACAAATTGCATACCGGTGGAATACTCTCTTTGCTACAGCCCATGCACAACTTACATATACACTTGCGTACGTATGCTTAAATTTCACATATGTAGACCATCTTCCGTCCTTCGTTTCAATTTAGTCGGGCTAAGCATTAATCATTCATTATATCAGTATCTGATGATTTTTTAGATTCAATATTTGCTTCTTGATGGAGAAATATTTGTATTGTATCCCGATTGTTTATTTGTATTGTAGCGTTTATTGCAACATCAAATGTATGCGTGATCTGCGTACTTGTATTCTCAATCATGTGTTTCTCACATATTTATTCAACTTCTGCTTCGCAGATCGAAGGGCCTGAGACTATGCTGCTCCGCGAAGATGGTCTTATGATTGCCCTCATCAAAAATGGATCAATTGCCGAGTTGGATGTGGCATCGAACACAGTCAATGAATGGGTAAGTGAACTCAAATGGAAGTGACATTCGACAATAGAGGCCCAACCACGCGTCTACGAGAAGATTCTTTTTTGTGACACAGATTATCATCGAGTACTGTGTACATTAATAGCTCAAGAAACATAACATTAATAGCCTGACAGCATTAATTTAATAGCATTGATAGCCCACATGTGTGTATTGGTATATTGAAATGCAGGTTTGGTCGCGTCCTCAGATTGCCTATGGAGGTCCATAACTATATGCTTAGCTGCTGCCGTGTTTGTATCATCACATTGAACGCCAGAATGGTTATCTAACTTTTGGAGATCGCGAATGAAGCCAAGGACGGTGGCCAAGAAACCTTTACCTCATTGCCTTCCTTCGCAACTATAGGCATATACTGGTGGTCGATGTCTGGGTGGTGCATTTGACAAGAACGGAGATCTCATTGCAGCCCAGGTGACAGCTGGCCTGATCAAAGTAGATAAGACTACCAGGCAAGTGACCGT